TCCAGTTGGCAAATCAGGTGAAATTTCCCCCCAGGAAGCAAGTAGTTATTGGTGTCTCACTTGCATGTTGCTTCAAAGGCCTTGCCATATCAAGTTTTCCATGTAATACCAGTGGATGGTATCCTTCAAGGTCTTCTCCAGTTTGGTTCTTGGAGTGATGATTGTGTGCTTTATATTTTTCACCTGTGGCACCATTCCTCACATTAGATCTTGTGGCAGCCAATATGTTTTCACCCTGAAGCATCCACCATGCTAGATACTCTGTCAAGGGAATAGAGTTTTTTATTTTTTCATCACCTTGTGAATTATTAAGACAACTTTTATAGATTTCTCTAAGTGCCCACCATCTTGGTACTCAGTACAGGGGATGTTCTGAAAGAAACAAGGGCCTGGCCAGGCCATTTGTGTGCTATAACAATAGTTGGTGCTAAAGTGGTCCTGAGAGTGGTCACTGGCAGGTAACGTTGTTTAGATACTTCGGTCTAATCTATGCTGGGGACCAGGTAAGGATTTGATACAACTCCCATCAAATCAGTGGAAGATTTTAATGGGATTTGGTTAGGTCTTCAGTACTGAAGCAACCCAAGGATTAGGAGGAAAGAAAATAAACAGTGCCTTTGCCCTTCCCCTCTCAATTTCCCTCAGCTGTACCCCACACTTACTGGGTACTGCTGGGAAACAGGCATAGTAAATCTACAATGTGTCTGTGGTAAGAACTTTTTTTCCTAAAGTATTTTGGCTTACTGAATTGTTTTAGCATAAAACAGGGTCTATTCTTTATTCCAAGCCAGCTTCAGATGGATTTTAAAACCCTTGTTCCTGCTGGGTGAAACTCAATATCACAGAATTGTAAAACCTTTACAAGTCTGGTTGAGTCAAGTGTTTGTTAAAGGTAGTTAGGATTGTGTAATCCGTTTGCAAAACACCAAACAGGTTGGGCAAGTTTCAATATCTTCTGGACATTATGCTAACTCTGGCAAATGTGCTGACAGTGTAAACAATATCTTATTCTCACAGATAAGAACTTTATGAAAAAAATGGCTGGTGTAATCATTTACACTGAAACCTGTTTTAAATGGCTACCAAAAGAATGAGCCTTTAAATTAACTAACTAAAACAAAACAATATTATACTGGAAAGTTTTAATTTTAACATGGCTATGCATTGAAGGTTGCTATTATTTCAGGTTTCATTGTATTCATAAATATTCTGGTGTTATGAATAGGGCTACTTTTGCAAGCAGTCATTATTAATAAGGAAGTGAAACCACTTTTGGAAGCCAAATTGTGCACAATTATAATTTTTTTATGAAACCCTGCAAATAATTCTCCCTCAGAATAGATTGGCAAGGACATGTCAAGGAGGGGGCAAGGACTGCCTTCCTCTGGATTAGCTTTGAGAATCATTCACCTCTGGGATCATCTAGTCGTATCTCACCTAACCAATTCCCTGCCATTAAAGGACCCATAGGCATTAATGGTATCTTGGGCCAGGTCTACACTGCCAACCTACCTTGGAATGACTATGTCGCTTAGGACAATGGATTTTGAACCCCTGTATAGACAGTGTTATGTCAGACCTTCTTCCCCCCTCATAATTATCACTCTTTTGAAGGTGGAACTAATAAGCTGATGAGAGAGCTCGTTCCCTTCAGCTTAGAGCTAGAGATATAAACTATTAAACAGCTAAAACAATTAACTGGTAAGCATTAGTCTTACCATTAATGGTTAAATGGGTTAACCTCCTCTCCCCATACAAGTAGGAGCCCCTGGCTTGCCGAAGCAACTCCAGTCATGTCAGCCAGATGGTCAACCCATGCTGGCTGTAGCAGTCCCAGCCCCAGCCCTTCTTCCTTTAACTGGTTAACTGGTTAAAATATATAATTTTAATCATTTAACTGGTTAACTTTAACCTACTTAGAGCATCTTCACCGGAAATGCTACAGTAGCAAGGCTGTGCTGATGCAAGCTACTAACGTAGACCTGCCTTAGTCTCTTGTTTTCTTCTTGTGGCCACAGTTGTCATTCGGGGATGGCAAATTCAGGCAACTGCTCCAAGTCCCAAACTTTGGGGGCCCCTGCAGGCCAGCATGATTGGTCGGAGCAGTCAGTCCTGGAAGTAATGTATTCATTACTTCTGCCTTGAGCCTCACACCTCCCTTGGGACCACACTGCCTAAGGCACATAGTTTAAGTTCCTGAGGACTGAAATGCTTTGGTTTAAAGATGTGGGGTTTAATATAGGGCTATATGAGTGAAAATTAAGGACAATACAGAAGATCAGATATGATCTAATGGTCCCTTCTGGCCTTATATTCCACGAAACTATGAAAAGCATTTCTTCCTTTTTCTGCATGGCCTAACTTCACTCTTCCTGTTAGGCAGGTTTAAGTGGGGAGTGTCATATTGAGTTATCTTTTCATCTTTCATCAATGACTGAAATGCTGCAGGATGATGACCAAAACACATTCAAGAGTATGGAACGATGTGTCATGGTTATAACAGGAGGTCAGAAATGAGGGCAACTAGATTCTATTCTTGGTTGTGCCATTTTCTCACTAAGGCTATGTCTAAACTATATCTCTTTTTCAAAAGAGGGATGTAAATTAGGCAGATCGAAAGTGCAAATGAAGCCAGGATTTAAATATCCCATGCTTCATTTGCATAATTGCATCACAGCGTTCTTTCGAAAAAGGGTATTTCAAAAGTGAAACTGCTGTCTAGACAGGATCTTTCAAAAAAGGGTTTTTTTTTAAAGAACCGCGTCTAGACGGCGGTTTCACTTTCGAAATACCCTTTTTCGAAAGAACGCTGTGATGCAATTATGCAAATGAAGCATGGGATATTTAAATCCTGGCTTCATTTGCACTTTCGATCTGCCTAATTTACATCCCTCTTTTGAAAAAACTTCACTGGGTAAGTCATTTTATCTATCTGTTCCTTAGTTGGCCTATTTGAATACTGTGTATAATAATATTTACTTACCTTGACAGGGCTGTTTTGAAAAACTAAGTAATGGTTGGTAAAATACTTTAATGTCATTATATAAACATGCTAAATAAATGAAAAGTGCTTTCATATGTTTTATATTGGGTCCTCCATCCTTGTCCCACCAAATTGGGGATGCAACATACTGAAAGTTCAGAAATCTGGCTGTATTATAGAATGTCAGGATCTGAGTAATAATCCCAGCTAGCTTTTATATTGTGCTTTTCATCATAGATGGGAAAGTGCTTTACAAAGGAGGTCAGTATTATTAGTCCAATTTTATAGATTGGGAAATAGAGGCACAAAGAAGTATAGTGACTCACCTAACATCACCCAACAGACCAGTGGCTGAAGTGGGAATAGAACCTAATCAGCATGTAGGTCCAACAACCCAGTACCAGCAAAACTGAGAATTAATGCTAGAGCTACACTAGAAAATTGTCAGGTTAGATGCATTACTCATGGGTATGAAAATTCCACACTTCTGTATGGCATAATTAAGTCAACCTAATGCTCCAGTGTAGACAGTGCCAGGTTGACGGAAGAATGCGTCCTTTGACACCCCCTCGTGGGGAGGTGGATTAACCACACCAATGAGAGAATCCCTTCCATCAGTGTAGGTGGAGTCTACACTGAAGTGCTACTGCGGTGCATTTTACTGTAGGCTGACATACCTAGGTTACTCAGCGGTGTGTATTTCTCACAGTCCTGAGGAACATAGTTTTATGGCTGTAAATTTTGATTGTAAACCAGATCTTGGACTTTGATTCATGTAGCTTTACAGAGGCATACATAAAATAAATCAAGGGAGACTTGGCTTTTAAAGGCAATACTCAATTTAGATAGTGACTGATCAATCAAGAATGCTTAATGAAAGCACAAATAGATTCTGCTTTTTGAGACTTTAGGGTGCACTGATGTCACAGTTTGAAGTTTTTTCTACGGCTACAATAGCTTCTTTTCCTTCAAAAATAAAGGCTGAAATCATCACATATCCATTGGCACTAGGAGGTGGGGCTTTGAAGAAAATAATTATCGTGAAACTCCTGACAAAATCCATGAGAATTGACAACACCGAATTCAGGCCTGCTGACAGGTGTATTTGTGTGTGTGTGTGTGGGGGGGGGGAAGAGGTCCGCTGTCCCAGGGCCTAGTGATTGAAAAGGGCTCATAGCTCCTCGCTGCCTCTACAGTGGCAACAGCAGCAGTTGGAGCCCCGTATCCTTCAAATTGCTGTCGGAGTCTTGGGTGGTGCACACTGGGTGGTGCTGAAGAGCTGGTTGGGGAAGGCTTGCCCTCAGTTCTGACCCTTCTATCTGAGGCCCCACCCCCTTCCATGGACTCTGAGGCAACCCCCGCTCCCGCCCATACCTTTCCCAGGGTCCAGCAAAATCCGTCAACTGCCCTGAATGTACTGATTAAAACAAGAGCGTGTTTGACTCTGAATCTTACCCTGTTCTGAGTTAATGGGGAACCTTTTCATAATCAGATATTTTATTGTTAATATTATGTAAAGAGAGAATAAAGCAAGAAAAAAACTACAGGTAAAATACTGCAACAAAAGCAAACTGGCTTAATGTAAGGGGACTGTTACCCCTTACTAAAACTCTGTGGGAGTTTTTTTGGTTTACCAGCTTCAGAAGGGGAAGGGTTCATGAAACTGACAGACTCCAGAGACAATGGAAAGCAGTCAACACTCCAGCTCAGCCTGACTGACAGGTTGTAAGTGGGGATTGTTCTGGCTCTGTCTCTGAACAAACAAGCTGTGTGCAGAAGAGGTCCTGCAAAGACAGAGAGCTGAAAAGAGCAGTGCAAGCTGTATGAAGAAGTCCTGCAAAAGGAACAGAGAGCTGAGACACTGCTAAGAGGAGTGCAAGCTGTGCTGAGGGGCAGTTTTTGCAGCAGCAGAGCCAGGCATACAGAGCACAAGGACTGCAGACCCTGTGTTGAGCAGCAGACTGGCAGTGCTCAGAAAGCCAAAAGGAACAGAGAAGCAACACAAGGAGCTGGAACTGGCCAAGCAGCACAGCCTGCAGCTGGATGTGGTGAGCTACTGGGACCTGCAAAGTGTGGGGAAAGGCTCTGGACTGGGAGAGGGGTCTGGCCACTTCGAGCTTGAGACTGTGTGGTCACTACCAGAGCTAGCGTGTCCAGCCTGTAGCCCCCTGCAGCATATCCAGGGCCTCTAAGAAAGAGACTGTGGACTGTCCTTATACTCTGCAGGCTGCTGTTTTGATGTCCCTGTGCTACAGAGCAGGGCTGTGTGTTCTCATTTAACCATTCTCATTTTTTTCTTATTCTTTTCTCTTTAATCCGTTGTTGTTTAATAAATTGTATTTGCTTTGAACCTTATGAAGTGATCACTGGGCCAAGAAGGCCTGCAGTGTAAAGAGAGCACCTCGGAGTGGGGACACCCTAACTCCTGCCCCTAGTGACTACAAGGTCAGGGATTAAGCCCCAGGAAACCTGGGCCCAGCCTTGTTGGGGTTTCAAGGGCTCTGCTACTCAGGAGAGTGGAGGGGGAGCCCTCAGGATCAGGGAGCCGTGGGGTAAAGGAAGTGGGAGCGGGGACTCAGATCCTTTCGCTGGTTCATTTCACCGGGGTGTATAGAAGCTAGGAAAGTTCCCCACAATAGCGGGATCATTCCCCCGCTTACATTGAGTTCAACATTTTCACTAACTAATATGCAAGCAAGCAGTGAGGAAGACATAATAGTTTGTGAGGCAAGTTAACAAATGTAAGAGCTTAGTTTGGAGTTACCCCTACAGAAAGAACTAGAAAGCAACCAAATGAATAAAATACAAATAACTATTTAACACAAAGAGCCTGCAGGGACTATTTTAATTCAAGCCAGCACAGATGCCAGCTCCATTCTTTAATGACTAGGAGGGACACTGAGAAACTAAAATCTCTTTTTAAAGATATCAGATTAGTTCATTTAAGGAATCCCTTTCCCTGAAGGCCCACAGCTTCCTCACTGTTGTAAGTGGAGCTATTTAAGGCCTAGATAAGGCAGAGGAGAAAAAAAACCTAGGAGAAAGTTGGGGGAGGGGAAAAACTGTTCACACAAATTGTCCCTCTTCCCTGCAAACCCTAACCCCACAATTTTTGGAAATGTTAGGGCCCAAGTTGTGACTATACACAGGTTTTAAAAGTGACTTGCAGAGAAAAGACAACAGTCTTGTTTTTTCTTTGCTGCTTTTATGATTAAAGTGGCCTGGAACTATGGGGTTTTTTTTTAAATCTGTTTATCAGTATGTCATTGGTTCTCCAATACTTAGAGAATCTTCTGACCTAGGCAAAACTTGAATTTCTAATGTAACAAACATTCTATGAGCCAGGGAGTGAAAGATGGACTATTAACAGGGGAAGTGAGTTTTGGTCAGTCATATTGGGCCTGATCATTAGCTAATTTAACCTAGCAAAGGCCTGTTGATTTAAATGGATATGATGATTTACACTACCTCAAGATCAGTCCCCATTCTGTTAAGTTTTGTTAGCAGCTATTTAATGTCAATAATAGATAAATATTTTGAACTAGAAGACTTACCTGGCTTTGCCTGGGTCCTTTAGAGCAAGAGGCTGGCAGTGGGGGGAGTCAGGACAGAGTCTTGGGAATCTGGAAGGGGGCAAGGTGGGGAGATGGAAGGCTTGAGAGTGGGGAGGGTGAGAAGTGGTTCAGCGAAAGGAAATCACAAAGAAACAACCATACAAAACAACCAAAAGCACAAACTTCCCTCCCCCCTCTTTAAAAAAAAAATCTCACAGACACCCTTTCAGGTTGCTCTTAAGACTCTGAAGTTACTGTACACAAAGCTATAAGTGTATATGCTAGCATATGCTGATATGAATAGGGAAAAGGAGAAACCCAAAGATGTGTTTTGGACTAACTTTAGTGTTCAATTAAAAAAACCCAAAAATAAAAACCTCTGGGAGCTGGTTCAAAGGGTTTCTCAGTTGTCAAAGACAGAAGGGAAAAAAGTAGAATCAACATTTAATTTATTAAAGGTGAGTGAAAAGAAGGGATCAGCAAAGAGTGAGAATGAAAGTAAACAGAAAAAAATAAAATTAATCAGAGAAAAAACCTTCAGGCCTTTATAAACAACTCATTTATTTCACCTGGCAAAATCAAACACAAGAAAAAATACAATCCAGTCAGGAATTTATTACCTGGTAGTGAAAACGGACACTACCAGACTATTTGCAGTTTCCTGAAGTGTATATTGGTCAAAGGTTGAATTATTATCAAAATGAACCTTGAGACAGATCTCATTACATATTACTCAGATGACAGATCATGGGGACTGAGAAAGGGAATACAAAACCCCAAAAACTAGCAACCGGTACTGAGCATGGGGAAGAAGAGATAGAGGAAAAATACTCAATATACCTCTTATTGAACAGAGCATCCTGTGTTATTCTAAGTAATTATTTGAGCTGGTCCCAGTCTTTATGTCCCAGTGTCAGCAGGATTCCTCGCAGAGGCAAGTAGTGGTTGTTCCATATATTGGTGAGTGACATAAAACTGACCTGGCAAACCACACAACAACCTGCTAAAACACTGGAGAATGGCAGTCTGATATTCCCTGTACCCTGTCGCCACATCCAGACACAGGCCCAAGTTTCTGAGACAATCACTGAAAAGGTGCAACTCAACACTGCTGCTTTTGTTGTTGTTGTTGTTGAGAGTGAGATATAATGCCACACATTTTAGGACCATCTTTCTAGGGATTTTTCCCCTTTGGATGAAGCAATGCCCCCCCCCCCTTCCCCCACACACAATACATGGTCAGCATTGGTCAATTTCATGGTCACGGGATTTTTAAAATCATATATTTCATGATTTCAGTTATTTAAATCTTAAATTTCATAGTGTTGTAACTCTAGGAAGTCCTGGCCCAAAAAGGAGTTGTGAGCGGGGAGGTCGCAAAGCTACTGTAGGAAGGTTTGCAGAGCTGTTTCCCTCATGTCAGTGCAGCTGCTGACTGTAGCACTGCTTTCAGAGCTGGGCAGCTGGAGAGCAGTGGCTGCTAGCCGGGAGCCCATTTCTGAAGCCAGAGCTGCTGCCAACAGCACTGCAGAAGTAAGGGTAGCATGGTACGGTATTGCCACCCTTACTTCACTGCTCCAGAGTGGTCCTTAGCAGTTTTGGTGCCCTACATGGGAGGTGCTCAATGGCTGCTGGTGCAGGAGGTGTGGGAGACAGGTGCCTGTGGGAGGCAATGCTTCCCTACTCGCAAGCACAGAGTCTGAGCATAGAAAAAGAAACCTTTAATAAAAGAGGAGGGAAGTAACATGGCATTATTTTGTGAAAACACCACAAACAGAGCTCATAATCGAAACCATGAGTAATTGTCCCACCCCAAATAGATTGTATGATGTTTTTTCCTCTCAGGTTCTTAAGTCCAGCAATGTAAATGTCTACTTCACATGTCCAACCCTTCTCTTCACCCCACTTACAGTCGCTGCCCTTGGTCAGGGCACACCCAGAGTTCAGAGGTGCATCTGTAGAATTCATCTCCCATCCTGAGGGGGGGAGAGAAAGAGGCATCTTACTCACCTCACTAGTCACTTGCCATACACCTGCTTGCTGTTCTCTGCTGCTGCTCTGCAGGCCATTTGTCTTATCTCTCCATTGCTGCCCTGCTGGCTGCTCATTGCATCTCTCCATCACCACTGTGCTGGCTGCTCATCGTGCTGCCGCCACCCTGCTGACCACTCATCATGCCACCATTCTGCTGGCTGCTTGTTGCATCTCTCCATCACTGAGAGTCACCATCAGACACAATCTCTCACTGCTTCTGCTGGATTGTGGTAGATTTGGGCCAAACCTAGTGGTTTCATTTCTCAGTGATTTCATCTGTTGGCCCAAAGTGCACACCAGCCACAAGCAATTCCATCGTCCACTGGAGTAAATTTAAATATTAAAAGAGATGCCTTACAGAACCTATCTTTAGCTCTATCATTGAAACAGTGGGGAGAAACAGGATGAACCAGTGATACAGCTCACAACTGGAGGTATGTAGCCTGCTTACTCAGAGTCCTGCCCTCCCTAGTTTAATCTTACAGAGCTCTGGAAGTGAAGCCTCTTTCCATTCAAATTTATTTACACTAACGATGTATTTTTCCTCTGTGCCAGGTTCAGTACAGACTTTCTTTTTTTGTATTCCCACAATAATTACAGACATTGTAATTAGTGTTAAAACAATTTGTGACCCAACACTAGCCAAGTTGATTACAATCAGCAAAACCCTACTCCATGAGCTGAATATCTAAGTTATCTAAGCAAAGTAGGGGCAAACTGTATTTACCCTGGAGGTGTCTATGTTTCTTTCCCATTCCAGCTGGCTGTAATGGAAGCATTCATTCAGACTCTGCTCACATCTTGGTAGGGACAGCCCTGCCTTCCGCTAATGATGGGGCACTGCCTTCAAGCTGGGCCTCTGGCTAACTGCCACCACTCTTTAACTACCCAGCTCTGAAGGCAACACTGACACTCCCCTCCCCCACAACTAATCTTGTAACTCCCTTTCAGGGGCCAGGATCCCCAGTTTGAGAAAGACTCATCTCCTCCATGAAGTCTGTATACTGGAGATTATAAACACACAAAAGACCGGATTTCACAGGGGTGGATCAGCTTTCACAGTCTCTGATTCATTTTTCATGACTGTGAATTTGGTACGGTCATACATATACACATAGATCATCAAAATAATGTATTTATCTGTGTGTTTTCATTGAGGTTGAGATGCTTACCCTTGACTGTAAGAGCTTTTATAACTATTAAAAGATACAGTTACTAAAATGAAAAATACATCACAAAAGTATACAGAACTGCCTATACAAAGTAGGGATGTTAACTGAATAGTCATTAACCTCATGAATTCTTATCAGTTACTTGACTATTCTATAGTTCCCAGGGGTGGGACCGGCAGCCAGTGCAGTCCCGCCCCACTCCAAAGAGCCCCTTGCCACTCTGTGCTGCTGCCTTTGTATCAGAAGCACCAGTGTTGGGTGCCAGGCAGGAGCTGGTCCATGAGGGGAGCCAGTTTAAAAACCAACTCCCCGCACAGACCAGCTGCTTGTCACCTCGCGCTGTTGCCTCTGACACAGAGGCAGCAGCACTAGGTGGCAGCAGTCCTTGTCTAGGTGGGGTCTGTGCTACCAGACTTGGCACGAGCCAGAATGGAGCCGGGCTGCCTGTCTACCTGGCTCTTCTTATACTTTCAATGAATAGCCGTGGCAGAGATAGGACCTGAAACAAACTGAGACTGAGTCGGACTGCTGGCCAGTCTGCAAAAAATTTACTGGCTGGGGGGGAAGGAAAATGCATGTAGTCTATAGCATTAAGCTATAAGGTTTTTTTCTTATCGGTTAATCGACTACACTATTACATCCGTAATACAAAGTCAGAGTAGCATTGACACACAATAACAATCTCAGCAATAACTCAGACAGCTGATTGCTCTGCTTCTGTCTCTCCCTGCCTCAGATGTCCAAATTTGTCAGCCTGCCTTGAGGTTTAACAAACACAACCTGTGTCTGCTGTCAAGGGCAACACACAGGTAGGTGCTATGCATTACTAACCATGACACCTATAGTTAGTGCAGTCATCTAAGGCGTGTCTATCTAGCAATTTTTCAACCTGTTTTTAACAACACCCATATTAGTGTGAGCACAAGGTAATCCCTCTTTTCAGTGCTTAATTTGTGCCTTTAGATTTGGTAGTTCATAGCCCTGGCACTTGGGCTTGCTGCATCAGATATTAATGTAAAAAAATAAAATAAAAAAAATAAAAGAACCAGAATAATTGCTTGACCTTTGAGCCCTGGCACCACTTTCATAACAAATTACACATTGGCAGCACTTACACTTTTTCTTAGCTAATTAGCAGTAGCGGAGCATCAGAAGAGAAGCTACTGCTATCAGCTTATTCCACTTAGCTGTTTTACAATAACACAGCTGTTTGCCATAGATGATGCCAGAGGCTCTCCCTTTTTATAGTTCCCCTAGCACCAGGCAGCAGCAGAAAAATCTTTATTTTTTTATTTTAGGGGGATGGGTGGCTATTGCCATCAAAACCAGGAGAAGGAAGGAAGGAAGGAAGGAACGGGGTAAAAAAAGGGGGATGTTAGGGACAATATGAAGAGGGCCATGGGAGGGGGGGAAGTGAGATAGAGAGGAACATCAGGAGTAAATATTTTAGGGAATTAAATTCTTGTCTCATAGATGTTGTACAGGTTGAACCTCTCTAGTCCAGCACTTTCTAGTCTGGCAACATCCATGGAGTCTGGTATGATTTCAGTTAGTCAGATGTCCACTTATCATGGGTGTGGCCAAATTTCCTGCCGTTCCATAAAGTTTATTTACCGCCATCAGTCCTGGCTCTCAGGCTGTGTCTACACTGCACCCCTTTTCCGGAAAAGGGATGCAGATGAGACAAATTGGAATTGCAAATTCTGCAGGGGATTTAAATATCCCCCACTTCATTTGTATAAACATGGCTGCCGCTTTTTTCCGGCTCGGGGCTTTGCCAGAGAAAAGCGCCAGTCTAGACGGGATCTTTCGGAAAATAAACCCTTTTCCGAAAGATCCCTTATTCCTGATTTTAAGAGGAATAAGGGATCTTTCGGAAAAGAGTTTATTTTCTGAAAGATCCTGTCTAGACTGGCGCTTTTCTCCAGCAAAGCCCCGAGCCGGAAAAAAGCGGCAGCCCTGTTTATACAAATGAAGTGAGCGGCAGCCATGTTTATACAAATGAAGTGGGGGATATTTAAATCCCCCGCTTCATTTGCAATTCCGACTTGTCTCATCTGCATCCCTTTTCCGAAAAGGGGTGCAGTGTAGACACAGCCTCAGTGTTCTGTGCTGTTATTTAGCTCTAATTTATCCCTAAATGTCTTCTAAGAGCCCAGTAAGCAGTGGAAGTGTTGGTAATGCTGCTAGACAATGTTGACCTCCCATGGTTCAGCAAATACTCTGATTCAGCATGGGTCAGGTCCTGAGAGTGCTGGACTAGAGCACATGTTGTAGTTTTATCTGATACGACTACAGATTAAATAGTTTTAATGTATTGGATGCTACAAAAACCTTTGTCCCCCACTGCTTTGTCATCTGTAGCATTAGGAGATCTGAAGTGAAAACCAGTCTGTAATTGTATCAGATACAAGTAAGCACATTTACCAATATCTGTTTTGCCATCTTCTAACTTATCATATAACAAACTCAGGGTTGGGTGTGCATAAATTAATTATGTGTCATCTAAGACATGCATATTGACTGAGGATTACATAGCTTGTTGTATGTCATTGCTTATTTCCTGTCCCTTCTGAGGGCGGGAGGAGTGGTGTTATATGAGAACTGATTATTCTGCTTAATAAAATTTCCTGCTATGTTGCTTGTCCAGTTTGAGTTAATCTTTCTTACTCACTAATTTACTTTCTTACTATACTTCTGGTTTCTATTATTATTCCTAACACAACAGGAATGTGAAATTCATAACTTACATTTGGTGGTATTTTCTAATTTTTACAAACTCTCTGATATAGCCACTGTCATAACACAGCCTGAGTGACACTCGCACCCCACCCCCTGTGCACCTGCCTTCCCTGCCCTGTGTGTGTCACTAACTGAGACGGCTCACCTGAAGATCTCTCCCTGGCATCTGACGAATCCTGGGAGATGTCCTGGCTGACCGGCACTGGCTCCAGGGACAAGATGACGGTCTCTTCCTCCTCCTCCTCCGGTTGGCCCTGGTTCTCCTGTTTCTCCTCCATTCCGGCCAGATGATGATGCGGGTCTCGAGGCCAGAGATGACTACGATGGGTGGGGAAGACATTTCCCCAACCCCGCAAGGTTTGGTGCAGTTCCTGGTACTAGGGGCAGGTGTGGGGTCCTGCCCCTGAACACGAGCTGTGCTCTCTGTTCCAGACATATCCCTGGCGGAGCTCTTTCACCTTACTCTGGACCTGTTTCAAGGTCCATGGTGGGTGTCTGCGCTCCACCAGGGACTCAGTCATGCACTTGAATATTTCTGCATTTTGGTGCTTGGAGAGGAGATCCTGCAAGGCATCCGCCTCATCCCACAGCTCAAGGAGGGACAGGATCTCTGTTCTGGACCAGAAGGGTGCACACCTCTTGGTTCCCCTGAGTAGGTCCTGGAGCCCCTGGGGCTGCTCCCTGTGAGGAACAAGAGGGTTGTGGGGGGCTTGAGGCTTTGCCATGGTGCTGCAAGGCCAGTGGCAGGGAGAGCTGAGTAGTGAGGTGCTGCTCTCAGGCCGGCTTCCCACCACAAGGCTTGTCCAGGGTGCCTGCAGCTTTAAGAGGGGCCAGGAGATTGGAACTATAGAGTTGTGTTTACTTTGGATGGAGTGTCCACCATGGCACCTGTGTTATTTCCTGGATGCCCCTTCCTCCTACCAATGACAGAAAAAAACCACTCTGTTCTTTTGATTTACTTTCAGAAGAACATGATTGCAGTGTGGACATAATGCAGGTTGTCGGGAAAACGGCCATTTTTCGAACAAAACTCTGTTGTGTAGAGATACCCTCAGCGAGTACATTGGACTTTGATATTGCACAACAAAGATACAGCAATAGCTCCAGTAAGGACACTGTCTCCAGTGTTGGATACCCTGTTGTATTCTGGAAATCCACATGTGCGCCCAGATATTGATTAAGGAAATCCTAAATCCAGTTTTTCATATTAATACATCAAAAAATTAAAATCACAAAATAATATTCATTTTTAATGTGTTTGATTGCTAAAATCAAGAGAAACTAATGCCTTATTGTTATTGATCTTTTCTTTAATTGTGTGGAAGCATTCCCCTCAAGGCAAATGTTGCTTTAGCCACAACAATCATGGGGAAACAAGTCTTCTCTCATTGGAAACATCACAAACATGAGCTTACTTTTAATAAGACTTTATACAGAGTAAGATGGATTTATCTGTGGTTCAAGTCCCATTGAGGCTGTACATTTGAGTGCTGAGGCAAGTCACTTTGGCTGAGACCTTCTCAGAACTAAGCTGATCCCCAATATCTGTATTATACTGCAAAAGGCTGTGACTATTTCTGTGTCACTGCTGGAAGGGGCTGGAGAGCTCAGAGGTATTTCAGTACAACCAAATGATAGTCACAAGGGGGTCTCTGTGACAGAACCCATAACAGTCCCCTAGAATATATGTTAACTACTTATGATAAATGATTTCTTCCAGTTTGTACTTAGCTATGACACACTGAGTATGTTTCCCAGATCTGAAGAGGCGCTCTCTAGCTCAGAAGCTTGTCTCTTTCACCAGCAGAAGCTGGTCCAATAAAAAACCAAGAGCTGTCAATTAAGTGCATTTAATTCAAGCAATTAACTCAAAACAAATTAATGTAATTAAACATTCATCACAATTAATCACACTGTTAAATAATAGAACACCAATTTCTCATCGCATGATCTCATTCATTTTGTCTCTTTAGTAGTCTTATAAGCTATTTTTCTTAGCATGGAATTAATCTTGGTAAATATTCTCTGTGTTTATTTTCTAACGCCCTTTATGTGGAGGAGTTGTGATGGATAGCAACAAGGGAGCTTTCTTTGTCCTTTAATCTTTTATTAGCATCAGTTTTTAAAGCAGCTACTCCTGAGGAACTGGGTAACTGTTTGTGGTTTAGAAAGAGTGGGTTGCCTGCACGTTGTTTATGACCACTTCTGTTCCTAGATTGACATGTATGTGTAAATGAAAAGTGGTACAATAGACATGATCATATTCTGACACACTCAGTTCTCCTCTGATGGAAAGCTGACATGCAAGCTTGGACTTCTGCTACCACTTGACAGAGGGATGATAATATGATGTCAGTTACTGTGGCAAGAATATTTAAACTTCCTATATGCCCTTAAGTGTCCAATGTCTTCTTCAGCACCATGTCATTTAGTATTTGCAACATTTGTCATCCAAGAGTAATGTGTATAACTGTATGCTGTTATAAATAGAATTATAATTGAATTCCAAGACATTCTTGCCATCAGTTTTGTGGACTTTCAAAAGGCATTTGATAGTGTAAACTGAGAACCAATGTGTAAAATGATGGAATAATATGGAATTTCAACAAAATTAATATTAAGGCATTCAACATCTACTCAATGCTGCATTAAAATGAAAAGTGGATCGAGCAAATCCTTCAGCATCAAGACAAGTATAAGTAGAGGTATGTCCTGTCTCCTTTTCTGTTTATGCTAGTCATCAACTATGGATTAAACATATAGGCCTTAAAATTGAATGATTCAAAACTATTTGATCTAGACTTTGTTGAAATTACCCTTATCAATGAAGAGGCCAATGGACTACAAAAAATGCACAAACTAAATTAAAAAAATAATGTGATGGGGAGGAAAAAGAAGTATTCTTAGACAAAAATGATTTAATAATTCAGGAAATTAGGAATTTGGTGAGTTCTTCCAGGGATAGAAAGTTAAATGTGTGTGAAGCCCAGGGCTTGACATTTTCTGTATTAAACTAAAATAAATAATAATAATAACGAGGCCCTGACAAATTCACGGTCCATTTTGGTCAATTTCACAGTTATAGGATTTTTTTAAAATGGTAAATTTCATGATTTCATATATTTAAGTCTGAAATGTCATGGTGTTGTAGTTGTAGGGCTCCTGACCCAAAAAGGAGTTGTGTGGGGATCCCAAAGTTATTGTATGGGTGTTGTGGTCTTGCTACTACTACTTCTCAGCAGCTGCTGGCAGCAGCATTGTCTTCAGATGTACTGCTGGAAAGCGGTGGCCGCTGGCCAGGAATTAAGCTCTGAAGGCAAAGCTACCACCACCAGCAGAGCAGAAACGAAGGCAGTGCAGAAGTAAGGGTGGTAATACTGTGACCCTCCTAAAACAACCTTAAGATCCCCCTTTTGGATCAAGACCCCCCAATTTGAGAATCACTGCTCTTCTCTATGAAATCTGTATAGGTTAAAAGCATAACAGAAGCCAGATTTTATGGGAGGACACCACATTTCACAATCCATGATGCATTTTGCATGGTTGTGATTGTGGTAGGCCCTAATAATAAAGCATTGCTACACAGAGTGACCAGGGACAGATTTAAATTCCAATGTGCTGTGAAACACCAGCATTCCTCAGGTAATCCAAAATGGAGTCCCCCACGCAGCATGACCTTGCATATGCAGCACATGTACAGAAGACTCCATGTTATTCTACAAAATAGCATCCTCCATTGGGAATTATCCTGTGGGCCATCAGTTAGACAACATATAGCTGGTTGGGCATGTAATGAATGCCTTGCATACACTGATTGTATGCCTCTGATATCTTGGGAGAGTGCCTTTCCTAACTATTTCTTTTTGGTGATGGATCAAAGGGAGCTGATGTTAACATCACCAGCTTTGCTTTTGTTTTCCTTCTTTGAGCCAGATGTATTTTAGTGGCAAAGATGCAAAGAATTGTTGATGCTAGTAAAAAAATACTTTTTAACTTCTGAAAGAATAGGATCCAATGATATTACACAGTAATCTCCAAAGCAATCAGTTCATGAGAGGAGGTTAAATTCATTGCACAATGAAATGTGTTGATCTGAAATTTACTCCAGTGTTACAGAGCAAGATTTGCCCCACAATTTGTTTGGCAACATACTGATTTAACAGCCTACAAATGCATACAGTATAATGCATTTTGTTATTCTCTGTGTGCAGTCAGAAGATGATCAGGGACAATTTCTTAGTTTAGAGCTTGCTAAATATTATTTAAGCAGACTTCACAACAGTAAAAGCTCAGTACAGTGATTGGGAAGGAGATTAAAGATCAGAAAGTTCCCTAAAACTAAAAGAATGCATTGCCTCGGTTTTCATTAAAGGTATGTCTACACAGCATCCTAAACTCGAAATAAGATATGCAATTTGTGCTACACAAATTGCGTATCTTATTTCAAAGCTATTTCAAAGTAGCTTATTTTGAAATTTGGCACATCTACACAATGCCAAATTTCAAAATAATGTGCTATTTCGAGACATCCCTTAATCCTCATGGAATGAGGGTTATCGGGATGCTGAAATAGGGTGCCCATTATTTCGAAAAATATTTTGAAATACTGGGCAGCTTTTGTAGATGTGGGGTAGCTATTTCGGGATGTCTTCAGTTTCCTGAAATAGTTGTGCAGTGTAGACATACCCTAGCAGTGTTAATGTGGAACATGTGCACGAAGGTGGTATGGCTGATGGTGGAAGAAAAATATAAAGCACTTAATGTGCTTAAATCAAGGGGGCCAGATCATTTCCATCCTATAATACTGAGAGAATTAGTACATGAGATTGCTAACTCAGTAGCAAGGATTGGTCTTGAGATAAATCTTACTCAATTTTTTTTTTAATTATTAATGATCTTGCTACAAAAAGTACGAGTTGGGTAGTGAAATTTGCTGTTGACACAAAGTTGGGAGGCATCATTCATACAGAGAAGGATTGAAATATTATACCTTGAATTCTTGGGAGTGACAAAAATGATATGAAATTCACATTCACATAGTACAACATAGTCATGCGCTTAAGGGTATACAGAATCTCACCCCTATGATGGTTATAAATCTTCTAATTGCCAACTTGAATGTGTTCACAATCGGTTTCATTCTTGTGCCAACATTGTCCTTTAGCTTAAATAGTGCCTAACCATCCCTGGTATTAGCCCGCCACTCCATATAAAGAGAGCAATCAATCATATGCCCTCTCACACTACCTTTTGGTTATCTAAACAAGCCAATCTCTTCGGCTACGTCTACACTGGCCCTTTTTCTGGAAGGGGCATGTAAATTTCACTAGTCGTCGTAGGGAAATCCGCGGGGGATTTAAATATCCCCCGCGGCATTTAAATAAAAATGTCCGCCGCTTTTTTCCGGCTTTTAAAAAAGCCGGAAAAGAGCGTCTAGACTGGCCCCGATCCTCCGGAAAAAGTGCCCTTTTCCGGAGGATCGGGGCCAGTCTAGACGCTCTTTTCCGGCTTTTTTAAAAGCCGGAAAAAAGCGGCGGACATTTTTATTTAAATGCCGCGGGGGATATTTAAATCCCCCGCGGATTTCCCTACGACGACGAGTGAAATTTACATGCCCCTTCCGGAAAAGGGGCCAGTGTAGACGTAGCCAAAGTGTCTGAAGCATATTCTCACCAGCAACTACACACTGCACCATAATAACTCAAACTCAGGAACCAATCCTTGCAACAAACCTCGGTGCCAACTATGCCCACATATATACACCAGCAACACCATCACAGGACCTAACCAGATCAGCCATACTGTCACTGGTACATTCTCCTGCACATGTACTAATGTAATATATGCCATCATGTGCCAACAATGCCCCACTGCTATATACATCAGCCAAACTGGACAGTCCCTATGTAAAAGAATCAATGGACACAAATCTGATATTAGGAATGGCAACATACAAAAACCTGTAGGGGAACACTTCAATCTTCCTGGACACACAATTGCAGATCTAAAAGTAGCCATCCTGCAGCAAAAAAAACTTCAGGACCAGAATTCAAAGAGAAACTGCTGAGCTACAGTTCATCTTCAAGTTTGACACAATCAACTCTGGATTAAACAAAGACTGTGAATGGCTTGCTAACTACAAAAGCAGCTTCTGCTCTCTTGGAATTCACAGCTCCAGATCAGCTACTAGAAGTGGGCCTCATCCTCCTTGATAGGATTCACCTCTTCATCTCCAGCCTGATTCTGGCCTGCATATTTATACCTGCCTCTGGAAATTTCCACTACATGCATCTGACGAAGTGGGCCTTTGCCCACGAAAGCTTATGCAAACTTAGTATTAGTCATTAATGGTTATGCATTACTGGCTGAAGATACCGTTAAAGCTGCACATATGTTTATTTTAATTAAGTAAAAAATGGGGACTGCAGACTGGATCTACAGGAAGTCCCCGGGTTACATGGATCTGACTTACATCGGATCCCTACTTACAAACGGGCTGAGGCAACCCCGCACTAGCTGCTTCCCCCCAGCAGACCAGGGAGACGCGGAGCGGCTTTTCTCAGCAGACACCTCAGCTTGAGAATAAAGGACTGAGGGTATGTCTACACTACAAAGTTAGTTCGAATTAACTTTGATAGGCGCTACACTAGCAAACTGCTAGTTCGAACTTAATTCGAACTAGCGGAGCGCTTAATTCGAACTAGGTAAACCTCATTCCACGAGGACTAACGCCTACTTCGAATTAAGTAGTTCGAATTAAGGGCTGTGTAGCCACTTAATTCCAACTAGTGGGAGGCTAGTCCTCCCCAGCTTTCCCTGGCGGCCACTCTGGGCACCACCAGAGAAACACTTCTGCCCCCCTCCCAACCCCGGAGCCCTTAAAGGGGCACGGGCTGGCTACGGTGCCCATGCCAGGTGCAAGCCTGCCAGCACCCAGC